AATAAAAGTATTATATAATGTTGATGACTTAAGACATGTCTTAATTAGATTAACAAATAATTATATTTAAATTATATTTACATTTAAACATTATATTTAATATCGAATATTTTTCAGTTCATGTGAAGTTGAATTTAAATAGAGTTTATTAACTTCATATTATCCAAAAACAAAGACATATATTCAGACATAGATAATTTTAGATAGATAGGCATAGTTTTCCATTTGAAATTTAAGATATCTTTTTATTTTTTTTTTGAGTTCCACCAATTTTCTTTATGGCTGGAGTCCTTGATAGAGTGGGCTGTGTTTCCCAAGGACATGATGAGAGTTAATTTTAGGTTTTTTCTTAGGCCTGTTTTTGTTTCCCAGGCAGAACTGGAGCTCCAAAAAAGTATTTTAACAAGAACCCTTTCCTAACTGCACGTGTAAGAAGAACCGCTTTTGCAATTTCAAAAAAGATTTTCTTTTAGTCAGTTTTCTCTGGAGTCTAAAGAATATCATGGCCATTCAGTGTCAAAAATATCATTTCTCCTTTTTGTAGTTATAGTATATTATTAATGATATATGCATGAGGGACTTGCTGTCACATAGGAAATAAAGCCTTGGCTACAAAAGTTTGACAAATGCTAGGACTGTTAAGCATACCTTGTGGTAACATAGTCTATTGAAATCTTTTATGAGGCCCGATATGATTAGGATAAGGGAGAGAGAAAGTGAATCTCTCCCAGTCTAAAGGGTGTAAAGGTATATTAAAAAAGCAATCTTGTGAATCAGTAATAATAATGTGCCAATTTTGAGGAATAGTAATAGGTGATGGAATCTCTGGTTGTAATGCCACCCATAGGTTTCATAGATGCATTAAATTTTCTAAGGTCTGTTAAGAGACACCATTTGTTAGATTTCTTTTTTATAACAAAAATAGAGTTCCAAGAAGAGCAAGATTCCTCAATATATTTCAATTTTAATTGTGTGTCTATAAGTTCTATAAGTGTCTATAAATAGCTTGTAATTTTTCTTTCGTAAGGGGCCATTGCTCTGTCCAAACAGGCTCGTCATTTTTCTCAGTTATTTTAATAATTGTTTTGTTTGTTAAATAAGCAGTGGCCCCTAGGAAAAATGTGGTATGTATATCAGAGTTTGCCATTGCATAAGTAAGTCCCTTCCTATCAGATTAAGGGGTGCATCTATCACATAAGGTCTTAATGTTGTAGGGTGGCCTTTTGGTCTATCATATGGCTAGATTTGAACATTTTGGTAAATTTCTTGTACTTTGGTTTGAGGAATCCCTGCAATTTGGCAAGAGACCTTTTGTATAGGCCATGATTTGGACCATAAGTGTTTGGAAATAATAGTAATATTAGATCCAGTGCTGAGGAGACCAGAAAATCTTTTACCATTAATTTTGATATTTATATTTGGTCAGGCATATTCAGACACCAATGATGCCCATAAGGATTGTTTTTGATCTGTACTGCCAAATCCGCCTGTCTGTACATTATTAGAGGAGTTAATAGAAATGTAAGGCAAAAGAAGTAATTGAGCAATTTTGTCCCCCTTTCTGAATTGCCATAGAATCTGAGATGACATCATAATTTGAATCTCTCCTTTATAATTTGAATCAATTATTTCAGGGTAAACAGTCATTCCTTTAGAAGCCAAATTAGATCGGCCAAATAAAAGACTGAAGGTTTGTGGGGGCAGGGGTCCAAAAATTCCAGTAGATACTCTAGAAGGGACTGCTTAAGGGTAAAGGAAAAAATCATTTAGGGCTGGTATATTGATGTTGAGGGTTTGAGGGAAAAGATAAAATTTGCCCCTGGTTTTTGTTGTAGGGGACCTGTGGGGGTGGGGGGTGTCCCCTGTTTGGAGTTTCCTAGAATAGGTTTTCCTTCAATATCAAATTTAGATTTACAATCTTTGGCCCAATGCATTCCTCTACGGCAGCGAGGGCAGATTCTTGGAGGTTTTTTATTAGCCTTCTTCAGGCAGTCCCTTTTTAAATGGTTTTTATCTCCACGCGTAAAGCATCCTTCATTCCCCTTTTTAAAGGTAGTAACCGTTGTTTCAGCTAGTATTTGCATCTTTTGAGTTTTTGATCTTAGATTGTGACAAGCCTTCAAATAATCAATAATAGTCCCAGTCTCACGAATTGCAGTGATAGTTCTTTGACATTCCTGATTTGCATTCTCATAAGCAAGTAATTTCTCTAGCTGTTTCTTGGTTTCTTCTCAGATTACAGTACGGGAAATAGCAGTTTCAAGTCTAGTTAAAAAATTAGCATAACTTTCATTAGGTTCCAACAAAGGAGAGATTTTTGGAGTTGAGCCTGTTGGCAGAGGAGGAGCATTTGGAGCAGCTGGGGCAAGGCTAGTAAGAAAATTCTGAAATATTTTAGGTTGTTTTAATTGGGCCTTTTGTAAAGTTTTATCATTTAATTTATATTCATGTAATAAGTGTTCCGTCTGTTGTCGAATACTGGAAGGGCTAGAATGTACCTTGAAATGGCAGAATTACAGCTTTAATGAGAGCCCACAGGGGCTAGACATCAATTGGAATATTTTTTCCTTGTTTGGCGGCTCATCCAACACTTTCTTTTTTTTGTTTGTTTTTGTTTTTGTGCATTTTAAAAAATTTATTTTTGGTAAATACCTAGGAGTAGAATTACTGAATTATAGCAAATTCCTAGTTTTCCACCATGGTTGTACTATTTTACACATCTGTCTGAGATGTTGCATCTTCTTCAACATTAATATGGCTATTAATTTTAGCCATATTAGCAAGTGTACAGAGGAATCCTATGCTACATTTAATTTTATTTCACTGATTATTAAAAATGTTGAACATCTCTTCATGTATTTATTGGCTAACATATTTTTGTGAATATTTTTCCATATCTTTTATCTACCTCATTAGTTTTTTTAATCTTTTTTATCATGAATTGGTAGGAATCTTTGATATATTATGGATTAAATGCCTTTATGTTACCTTTTTTCTCCTAGTCTGTGGCTTTGTATATCATTTTTAAATTTCTTTTTGATGAGAAAAATTCTTTTTTTTTTTATTGTCAATTTTTATTTTTTTATTTTTTTATTTTTTAATCACAACCATAGTGTATCTTTTTTTTTTTTTTTTACATGTATTCCCCATCCCGGTCCCCCCTCCCATCTCCCTCTCCACCCAATCCCTCTGGGTCTTCCCAGTGCACCAGGCCCGAGCACTTGTCTCATGCACCCAACCTGGGCTGGTGAACTGTTTCACCCTAGATAATATACGTGTTTCATCCAACACTTTCTTTGACCCGGTGCCAAATTTCTAAACCAAAACTGCATTTATCAGGGAACCAAGGATTACATTGAACCATTATTTGAAAGTAAGCCTCTATTCGTTGACGCGAAACCAAAAGTCCCTGAGCTTTAAACAAACGGTGAAGTAAAATAGAGAAATGATGGGGCTTTCCAGCCATCTGACCCGTGTCTTAGTACTTACCGACCTCAATAGGCCCTGACCTCAATAAGCCTGGAGTCACTCCGTCCGAAATGCAACATATACCAGTGTCTGTGTTCTGGGCGCCACTTGTTGGGGTCCTTTAATGGACTGGGACCTGGCAGTCCGGAGTCCACAATAAGAGAGAGAGAGTCGGAGGGAGGTGGAGAGAGAGAGAGAAAGAAAGACACGGGGACCCCAGCTCTGATGGAGCAAAGGTGCTTTAATGATTTTTCTGTGAGTACATATAGGCTGTAGTACAAGAAATTTCTTTGATAATGATAAAAATCAGAAAACCAAACATACAGTAACCGTTACCAAGGAAACAAAGGATAACAATGGTCACAAGGTCAGGAGACAATCCACATCTCAATAAAGGGGGGCGAGACTAAGCAGTTTTGTCGAAAAGAGAATGTTTACTAAGGGAGGCCTAAGCCTGTCTCACACAATGACCTCAGTCCTGAGAGCTGCCTACAGTTCTACTCGCTTCTGGCAGAAGCGGTTAAGGAACAGAGGACTTATGAGAAATAGCACGTAGGAATCCTCCCATTAAACACTCCCTGACAGTCTGGTGAGGTCTTTACAACCTCCAGACATTCTTTTGTTTCACTGTAATACCTAATTTGAGAGTATGTAACTCCATTGCTAATGCTAGCAAGGGGGTACTCTTTCTGGCCCCTTCTGATGTCTATGTCAGAAGCTCTCTCTATCCCTTTTATACTTCAATAAACTCTATTGCACAAAAGCTCTGAGCGATCAAGCCTCGTCTCTGGCCCCGGATTGAATTCTTCTCCTCCGGAGGCCAGGAATCCCGGCATCTTTGCATGGGTTCAGCAACAACGTTTCAGGGTCCAGGGGCTGCCTGCTGGTTCCGACTACAGGCACTGCTGCTTTTGTTTCCTCGGGTGGCGTCTTGAGCCCATGCTTCTCCTCACTTGGAGGCTCGAACCCAGGAGGTGGCCAGTGGAGCTTAGTATGCGGGCCTGCCTCTGGCGGCAATGCCTGGCGCTACCCAGATACGAGAGTCCTTACGAACCAAGGAGACCCAGAAGTACCCCTCTGTTCATCTGCCCTGCTTGGTTCCGCAGGTTCAGAGGCTCCAGGGCCAAGGGAAGGGATCAAGGTCCTGCACCCAGGACTCCTAGCCCTCCACAAGGTGCCGGCGACCTATCAGAAGATCTGTGTGTCCACTGGGTGGGACAGAGGCAGCCGGATGGCGGGGACGTGGAGCAGGTGCTGGTCCTTACGGCATTCACATTTTGAGCACCTTCAGTGCACCAGGCATCCCACTGGCCTTGGGATTTGGCAGTCAACAAGACAGACCAGCCCTGGCTACGGGAGAGAGCACCCCCTACCTACGGACTGCACCAGTGTAAAAGTACTCTGGGGATCTAGCCCAGTTTGGGTTTCCAGAAAGGGGCAGATGGAAGGGAGGGTCCCCTGTAGAGGGAACAGCATGTGCAGTGTGTGTGTGTCTATGTGCACGTCTGTGTGCGCCCGCGTGTGGTGTGTGCATGTGTATGTACGTGTGTGCGTGCGTCCATGTGTGCATGTGTATGTGGGTGTGTGTGTATGCACCCGTGTGTTGTGTGTGCATATGTGTATGTGTGTATGCACATGTGTGTGTGTACGTGTGTGTGCTGGGTGACCTGCTCAGAAGGAGCCAGGTGGTGGGCACACGGGCTGTGAGGAGGGCGGGGCCGCTGGAGCCTCACCCACCAAGCTGCACTGTGGTCTCCAGAACCAGCTCTCTAGCTATGGGGTCCTCCCCTGGGGGATGGGACAAGGTGGGTGACAAGGGCATGACATTCCATTGGCCCTGAGAAGCTAGCCCACCCCCGGACAGACAGCTCGGAGCCCAGCCAGGGCAGGGACACCGTCACAGGGACAAGTGTGAGCATGTGTGGGAAGGGTCTTCTTACTGCCAGGGCTTCCTAGGGCAGGTGGACCCACCCTGAAAGGAAATGAACCCCCTGTTCCTGGGAGTATCCAAACAGATCCAGGGACCCAGGACAACTCCGGCCCTACTTGGCCCAGCTACTGGTCCCAGAAGCAAAGCCAGAAAAGCAAACCACTCAGCCTCTGCCCAACCCTGACCCTGGAGAGGAGGCCGCCTAGCACCCAGCTCCGTGGACTGCGGACCACGGCTGCCCCAGGAGCTGCTTCTTCCCGGCCTGCGAGAGCCCTGCAGCCCAAGCCCGCTGAGAGTGGACTGGACAGACAGACGGCTTCCTCAGTCCAGCTGCTGCCAGACGCCTTCTCAGAGCCACTGGGCTGCAGCCCTCACTCCGCAAACCCACCCTCCCGGGACTCTAATACTGACCTAAGCAGGCGGCCTCGGGGGTCACTGGCAGATGCGGTCGTTGGAGAGGCCTGAAGGCTGGTCAGGGGAGCTGGCCTGCCTTCTCTAGGCCTTCGCCCAAAGCCCTGCAGAGAAGACGGACAGGACACCGACTCAGTGCAGCAGCGCTTCAGGCCAGGAGTCCCAGGTGCCTAAGTCAAGTTACCGTTGAATCAACTGCTGAGTCATTTCAGTTACTAACTCCTCCCTCTCCACCCTGGATGTTCTTTGCTCCCGTTTCTAAATAGGGCAAAGGGTGGGAATGCTTGGAAATGAGGTTGCGGTTGTCAGGATCTTGGGGGGCAGGGGTGAGTGCGGCGGGGTTAATGAGGTCACAGGCTGAGACTGAACAGGTGTACTGGGGCCACACTGAGACACTCCTTGAATCCGCCCGCACATGGGGCTGTCGTCCTGCGAAAGCGGGGAGCCCCTGGAGGTTCGGGAGCAGAGGAGGGTCGGTTTCCAGTCGTCTCCAAGTAAGCCGCCGGGGACCGGGCTATGTCCATCCCTCACGCAAAATTCCACAGCCTAGGCCAGGGAAGTGTTGGAGGCTCTCCCAAATTAGAGGTGGAATTCCGGGGTCAATCCGGGTCTTCAAGGGCCAGGGAAAGGCGCGAGGGCCTCGCGCTACCAGAGAAGGGGGGCGACGCTAAGGGAGACCCGGGGACGCTCCTGCGTCTGTAACGCTCGGGGTGACCGCCAGGTGCCGCTGCGACCCCAGGGCTCGCCCCCCCTAAGCCCCGCCCGCCGCGGAGAAAGCGAAAGACGCTCGCGCCGCGGGGTGGGACGAACCACTGCGAGCGTGGAGGGGGGGGCCGCGGTGAGACGCGGTACTTCGCCCGCGGCGCCAGGAGCGTTGCCCCCTCAGCCGGCCTCGCGAGATGGTTCGCTCCACCCGCGCACTGCTCAACGGTTCCCAGGCGGGCCCGCTGAGCACCGGAATCAGCGCCGCCGGCTGCAACGCTGCGCGCGGAGCCGGCAACCGCGCTGACGGCTCTCCCGCGCCCGGCGTCCGCTGCGGCCGCAGCCACGATGCTGGAGCTGCTAGTAGCGCTGCTGGCCCTGGCCCTAGCCTACTTCGCATTGCTGGACGGCTGGTACCTCGTGCGCGTGCCGTGCGCCGTGCTGCGCGCGCGCCTGCTGCAGCCGCGCGTCCGCGACCTGCTGGCTGAGCAGAGCTACGCGGGCCGCGTGCTGCCCTCGGACTTGGACCTGCTGCTGCATATGAACAACGCGCGCTACCTGCGTGAGGCCGACGTGGCGCGCGCCGCGCACCTGGCCCGCTGTGGTGTGCTCGAGGCGTTGCGCGCGCTCGGGGCGCGCGCCGTGCTGGCTGCTTCCTGCGCGCGCTACCGCCGCTCGCTGCGTCTATTCGAGCCGTTCGAGGTGCGCACGCGCTTGCTGGGCTGGGACGACCGCGCCTTCTACGTGGAGGCGCGCTTCATCAGCCTGCGCGACGGCTTCGTGTGCGCGCTGCTGCGCTCCCGCCAGCACGTGCTGGGCACCTCGCCAGAGCGAGTCGTTCAGCACCTGTGCAAGCGCAGGGTGAGCGTCCCCTGGCCCCTGAGGACCCCTGGCCTCCTGGCCCCACACTGCCGCCTCCCTTGTGTGGGATGCTCTCATCCCACCGGGTACCGCTCCCGCCCTTCCCTTTGGTCCCAGGCCAGGGCCTTCTTCACTGATGCCTTTCTTCGTGAGACCCCTCAGGGTTCCCTGATTACCTCTTTATAGCTGGACTCAGCATGCCCCTCTCCCACCGCTTCTTATGAACCTGGCTCCTCAAGGCTCCCTGCCACACCCTCCACATTTTCCAGAACAGGGAAGACCCCTCTCCTCAGGGGGTCCAAGTGTGGCCGAGAGTGCTGAGCCCGTCTCACGGGTTCTTGGTTCTGAACGAAGGATGGAGTCAGGGTGGGGATGGTGTCAGTGACAGGAGATTGGTGGGCATTCTCAGGACCTGAGACCCCCCCTTCACCCAGATTAGAGCTGAGGGGCTGGGTCACCATCCCCTGTGTTCCGGTGAGAATTGAGCTCTCTAGAGCTGCAGGCCCTGCGCCTTTTCCAGTTGGAGAAAAGAGGGCCGCAGCACTTGCCTGGGGCTCAAGGCCCCTCCCCGGGGCCTGCTCTTCCTAGCCCAGCTGGGCCTGCCGCTGTGGCATGGCAACTGGGCCCTGGGGACGTTGCTGCGATGCCAGTTGCCAGGGCAGGCTCCTGCTGCAGACAGGTGCCTAATGCTTGGGCACCTGCATGCCAGAGCCAGGACCTGCTGGACCCCTTGGTGCCCTCAGACAGGGCACTGCCCTCTCTGGCCGTGGACAGGTGCAAAAGAGGGAGACAGCCTCACCTCATGGTGAGGCCATGACTTTGTGTTATATCAGAGGTGGGGAAACAGGCTCAGAGAGGCGATGCGAAATGCTTGAGGCTACACAGCAGGCCAGAGGCCCAGCCCACTGCTTTTCTGTCTCTCTGAGTCAAGGACACCCCCAGAGAGCCTGGATCCCACCCGCCTCACACCCACAGAGATGCTGTGTGTGTCTCTTCATTGCCAGGAGACTGGGAGGGGAGAGCCATCGAGGCTTTAAACCCGTGGACTCAGCTACGACCAAAGTGTGGAGGCGAGGGACCAAGGCCACCTTCCTGCAGGGGAGGGTGCCATGAGGCCAGGTGTGGGTTGAAGGGTGACTCCCACGCGAGAGGTGAGATGGCCCTCACCCAGCCTGGCAGGGGCACCCCGTGGATGGCCGGTCCCAGATGGGGCAGAGGGCCCCAGGTGCAGTGTCGGGTTTAGTGTGGGGCAGGCTGAGCCCAGTGCCCGGGATCTGCCTGCCGAAAGGCTGGTGTGGGGCGGCCCGGCCTCGTGGGGAGGGCTGGGCTGCAGCCGAGTCTGGATCCGGTCTCACCCCCATCTCCCTCTGCAGGTGGAGCCCCCAGAGCTGCCGGCTGACCTGCAGCACTGGATCGCCTACAATGAGGCCAGCAGCCAGCTGCTCCGGGCCGAGAGCGGGCTCCACGATGTTCTCAAGGACCAGTGACCGCCACACCCTGCCATCCCTGCCCACCAGCCTTGACCTGGAGGCCGTTGCCCACCCTTCCCCACCTGCCAGGGGGCAGAGAGTGCAGCATGGGCCGGCTGGACTGGGCCCTCTTTGAGCTGGAGTGGCCTTGAGACCCACCCAGCCCCCTCACATGCTCAAGGCTCTCCCCTGCCTCCATTATTGATGCCCCTCCATACCCCATCTCATGCTAAGCACGGGGTGGGGGTGATGCAGGCACCCAGGCCAGCTTTGCCCTCTGGGTGGTGATGATGGGCAAACCGGGAGGCCCAGGGCCCTTGGCATGCAGGCAGCAGGGGCTTGGGGTGGGCCGCCTTGCAGGTGAAGCCAGGCTTCCATGCTCTGAGTGGGCGGGTGCCTGGCGCAGGGAGCGGGCTGGGGTTGCCTTGAGCGCCAGAGCTTGTAGTCTGAGGCTGCCATTGGGGGTGAGGTCGGAGCAGTCCTGGAGGTAGGGCCGGGGGTGGGGCAGGGAGCTGGCCAAGGCCTGGGTCCTGATATGGGCCCCAAGGAGCTGGGAGGATCAGAGCAGCCTTTCGAGGCAGATCCCTCTGCTGCATGTGGGGGCGGGGCAGAGTGTGGCCAGGCAGACGGGCCCAGGGCACTCGAGAGAGAGGCCTGGTCATCAGGTCCTGGGGTGGCGGTGGGGCCTTGGAGAGTACGGTGGGCCCAGCGCAGGTCATCTGTGCAGCGGCTCCGCTGGAGGTGGTGAGCCGTCATAGCTGGGGGTGGGGGGTCCTACTCAGAACCTGCTGCTGAGGAAGGATTGGGGAGAGACATGGGGTCCTGCCTGGGTGCCCTCACCTGTCTGCACCCCTTGGTGCCCATAGGACTGTGCCGTGTGACCCTGGCTGGGGTCCTACCCTCTCTGGGCCTATAGCACCTCTGCCCTCCCGCTGGGGCTGTCCTTGCCTGACCTGACGTCCTGCCCTGCTATTGATCTGTTTGTTTCTTCCTGCGCTGAGAGCTGCTTCCGGCAGTGGGCTGGGGCTGCATGCGGTCTTCCTGGCTTTGCTTGAGCAGCTCTGTCCTGGCGTCACCAGCCTGCTGAGGTGCCGGCCAGGGCCTGCCCGCTCTCTTGCCTTGCAGCTGGGGCGAGGGCGGCTTGGGGAGAAGCAGGAACTGGTCCAGGGCCTTGGAGAGCACGAGGACAGTGCAGGTGGGCCTTGTCCCTGGCTGGGGACAGAGTCCGGGCTCTGGGGGTGGGTTCTGCCCTGGGCGGGGTGCCCGCTCACCTGTGCCCCTGCAGCTGCCCCCGCCGGCCCCCGGGGCAGCCCAGAGGGGCCCAGGATTGCTCCCTGGCCGCCTCGTCCACCCCCCGCCAGCGGGGCCAGGAGCACGGCCACGGCCCTCTTCCTCCCCTGCCCCCACGGCATGGTCCGCCTCAGCCACTGGGAACACTGCTGTGTTTCTGTTTTATTTAAGGAAAGCCCAAGAGTAAAGGCCTTCAACGTGAGCGAGCTGGGGAGTCTTCATTTCCGAAGCCCTTTCTGACGTGGGGTGGGGGGGCGCTGTCAGGATTGTTGGGTGAACTTAGGGTCCACGCTGGCAAGACAGGACCTGTGCCCGTTCTGCAGATCACAGGGTTGAGGCCAGAAAGGAGCTGCCCCAAGCCCTTTACAGACTGGCCCTCTCCTCTGCGGTTGTCCACAGAGGCTTGGGAGTTGCCACCCCAGACTCTGGGTCTGGGCCCCCAGGCTCCTGGGCTCACTAGGCAGGGTGAGGGCTGGCAGGTGGGGCAGAGGTAAGTGGGCTTTAGTGCCGGGGGGAGGGTGAGCAGAGGGACTGTTGTGCAGCACCCACAGGAGGGCAGGGATGGGACCCCTGGGACGGAAGGCAGGTGTGTGGTGGGGGGGACTGTGTCCGTGCTCTGCCTGCCTGCCCCAGCAGGGGCCAGCCTTGGGGCCTGGGAGAGAAGGGCCATTGGAAGCGGCTGGGTGTGCAGCAGGCATTCAGCGATGGGGCGGTGGGGCTGGAGAAGCTCGGAGCAGGGCAGTGCTGCGCTGCCAGGGTGGTTGGCTGGAGCCTCAGCCCTTTTCACCTTCCATCTTCCCTGACGGCCCTGAGGCCTGCCAGGTGGGGCCTCATGCCTGTCCTGAGCAAATGGCCACGTGAAGGTCACACGGGCCCCCTCCCAGAAGGTCTGTTTCTCTTCACGTGACACATATTTGCACAGGGCCTGTAGGGAGGGGCGGCAGGGTTTGGGGGATCGTGGCAGGTGACTGAGCAGACTGTTGCCAGACAGGACAAGTTCCTGGCAGGACCACAGACAGGAAACGGTGCACTGAGCCAGTGGCCCCAAGTGGCTGGCTGGGGAGATGGGATGGAGGTGCCTGGGCATGGTCTGCCCCGCTTGGCATGGTTGTTGGCAGCGGGGTGGGGGAGGGGCTTCAGGATGGTCACAGGCATCTAGGCTGCGTGTGGCTGCCCCAGGGGCATGGGGACTTCTGTGTCCACTTCAGGAGATGCAGCCTAGCCAGGGGGTGGGGAGGGGAGGCTCTGAGTCTGCACTTGGAGGACAGGCCTGTAGCAGAGGGGAGAAGGGTACCTGTTGACTAGGGGGACTGGCTTCAGGACTGGGCTTTGGGAGTGTATCTGCAGCCTAGTTCTTACAAGACCCACTGATCCCATGCAGTGGCCGCTTTCGTTGAGAAGTTCAAGTGACTGTCTGCCCGCATGTGGGTTGGGCCCTGGTTCTCCCTTGACCACGCTCCCCCTCCCGCAGGCCAGTGGCTACAGGACCATCCACCCCAGGCCCCCGCCCCTGTGGTCTGTGCGGCGTCTGGCTCCCCAGGTGACCCCCACCCCCACTCCTCACCCCCACCCCGCCACCTGCCTGCAGGACGTCCTGGGAGGCGGAGCTCCTGGGGGAGGTGGTGGCATTTTTCGCCATCTGTCCCGATGGAAGAGGTACTCATGATGAAAGAGGGGCCCTTCTTTCTCTGGCCAGTGAGCAGGGGGCGGAGGGCCCAGCGTCTCCCTGCCGCAGCTCTTTGTGACCCACCCGCTTCCACGTGACGGGAGGTGGGGGTGTGCGATCAGCACCCACTTGCCTCAAGGCCCCACATGCCCCACATGCCCGCAGACGGTGTGGGCAGCTGCCGTCCACCCTGCAGCCACCTGCTAGCCACTCTTGTGGCCCCCAGCCGTGACCTCCCCAGCTCCCACAGGGGCGCAGACCAGCGGGCGTGCCCAGGGCTAGGGCAGGGGCTTGGCGGGCCCCCGTGCGCTTGGGCTGCCCTGCATGGCTCCCGCCAGAGGTGTAAGCAGGGAGGACCCATGACCCTGGTGCTGGGCTAGGAGTCCGAGGGGCGCGCGCCCTCTGCTGGCCACGTGGAGGCCCCGCAGGTGCCTGCCCCCACCCACCCTCCTTCCCTGGGAGCGGGCAGCTGCCACGCCTCTCCCAGCTGCACACCTGCTCTGCACCCCTGAAGCGCCCAGAGGTGCCCCCCTCTTGCTCTGCTGGTGAGACTGAAAGGGGCAGTGACGTGGCTTCACTGTGCCCCAAGGTGAGTGGTGGCCCTGGCCTCCAAGTGCAGGGTCACATCAGGGGTGGTCTGGAAGTCTGGCTGTGATGCAGAATGTGGAGAATCTCCAGCCCAGACGCCCGACGGCAAGGTGGACACTGACAGGCGGGGGTCAGTCCAGCTCCTGCTTCCCACTCCCTGCAGTGGGGCTTGAGCAAGGGGACGCCAAGGACAGCTGGCAGGGTTTCCTGGGGCCTAAGGATCCTGGGCTCCAGGGGGTGGTCAGCTCCCAAGGACACTCTGCAGCCCATCCTTGAGCAGCCAGGCCAGACCACGGGGGGCCCCTAAAGCCTCTGAACCAGCCCTGGGGGTCTGGGGCAAGCGGGCACAGCCTTTGTGTTTCATACACACACTTCCCTCTAATCTCAGCTGTCCCCGGGGCCCAGGGTGTAGTAGGCCTGTTGTCACAGGAGGCAACTGGGGCCTGGGGAGTTGTGTGGGTGACTGCAGACCCGGGTACACCCCACCCCACACCCTTGGGAAGACCCAGTCTGGGGGGGGCAGGCCATCCCCACATGCCCTCTTCCCCAGGTTCCCCCCTTGCTGCCACGGCAGACCTGGGCCCCGCAGACCCACCCACCCTCGGAGAACACTGGATTCCAGCCCTTTTCCTTCCCATCCTGGGGAGGGGCATGGGGTGGAGGGATGCCTCCAGAGTCCCAGGAAATATTCTGGAAGCAGAGTCAGATTTTCCTTGGGCTGAGCAACAAGTCCTGGTCGGACTGCAGGAAGGCATTTGTCCCCCAAAGCCTCTGCCTGCCTGTCTGTGAAGCAGCTCAGAACGGCCGTGGTGGGCACGAGGCTCAAGTGCCGGAACATGCCTGGTCCCACCCAGCTCCCCGAAGGCGGCCCTGTGGGCTCTCAGTGTCCAGAAGGAAAAGATGGTCTCCAGCCTCAGTTTATTTATGTACCCCACAGGTTTAGGGGAGAAGGGCAGAGCGCGCCCCAAAACAATTCTCTCCCCCTGGGTCCCACAAGTAGCCTGGTGCCTGATGAGCTCGGACCGTGGGTGCGTGCCAACAGAGCGGCCGGCCGGCAGCGTCGGGCACCTCAGGGAAGGAGGTGGCTGAGGACCACGGCCCCCAGGGGGGCCAGGGCTCCAGCACTGAGCCTGGCAGCGCCCACGGAGTTGCAGAGGTCGTGGAAGCAGCAGAAGATGGGGTGGGCAGCCCCGATGCTGTCTGGGTCGGTGGCCTCGCAGGAGCTGGCACAGGTGCTGGTCACCACGGGGCTCTCGTTGAAGGGGAACTCTGGAGGGAGGGCAGGCGTCAGAGCGCGGTCACCCCGCCCCGGCCTTCCCTGGCCGTCCCAGTCTGCACCCTTCACCTTGCTCTTCCTGCCTCCTCCCAGGACACCCTAACTGACCACCGGCCTGGAAGTCACCCGGGCCCCTGCTGGGGTCTGCAGTGTGGCCCTGAGGTGGGAGCTGGGAGCCCCGGGCCCCCGCCGCACCTG